AAAGTATATACAATAAATTCTTAATAATGTCCACCCTTTATGCTGACTTTTGTCTAATCCTAACCCTGTTTCATAGGACTCCTCAAATTTTTCAAATTTTGCCTGGCTGAAATTCCAGAAGTTTTAAGCCTCGAAGGTGTCAGTTTGGAACGCAGCCGCCACCAGCCACATGGCCACTCCTATAGATTGCTATGGGTGCGAGAGAGAAATCCGATGCCAGCTGCGTTACTGACTGCAAAAATCAGTTTTGTCCCAATTATTCGAACCGGAGAAAGACGGGAAAATCCCCGAAATTTTCAACTGTAAACTACCTCCATTAACGCTGACGTGAAAACAGTCTAATATACAAGGAGTTCCATAGCGTGGAGGATGTTGAAAGCGCTCGATAAACGGACAAACATTTCCGAACGGTTTAACGGTTCGAGCGGGTGGCCTCCTTTTTGGCCATCCCGTATCAATCATAAGATTTGACAAGTTAACAAGAGCACGCACTTAGAAGAGCATAGTAGTAAAAGCGTGGCGAAGATAAATCCGATCGTTCCTAAGAAAAGCGCCCGTTATTTCGGCCGCTGAATGGCCATTTCCTATTATATTGGTCGATCGACAGTCAAAATCGCGATTTTATTCCACATAAAATGAATCAAGATGAATGCGATCGTGTCCAACTTGATTAAACAGCTGCCCGATTAGTTGAATACATTTTTACAAGCTGATGCAGCAATTGGAGATCAAACTTGTTCAGTTTACACAGGAAAACCCTATCAACCGATCCAGAAATCTACCGACTGCTCCATTAACGATTTATCGACAATTTTTTGTAAATGCGTTCGAATGAAATAAATATAATGTATGCGATCGACATTTAAATAATAATTTGTCAATGTAGAGTACTCGAAAATCCGAACGCATCCACTCTCAATAGACAATTAGCGACGAATGGAAATGCGGCGCAATTTAGAACAAAAATTTCGGACGTCAGGATGTTTGATTGAGTGATTTTTTTGGCTTGATCCACCGCATCTCGAACAATACGCTCTCATTTCCGCAAATGTGGAATCGGATTTTCATAAACCCACGTATCATATGATTGATCGCAGCGAACACAATACGACCGAAGATTGCCCGTTAAAATTACATTTGCTGTTCCCAGTAATTCTGCCAATAAAACCGTTTTAATATCTGATCATTCATCAGATTAATCATTGTTTAAGTTGGCCGGATCGATAAACTAGTCTTCAGTGGAATTTTTCCAACTGTTTTCAGCAAAAAGGCACATTTTTCTCAGTTGCTGCAAAGTGGGGCTTGAAAGCCGAAGAAGTTGCACAGAAAAACGTCTAAACTCACTGAAACTTCTCATAATGGAATGTTGGCAAATTGTCTTCAACTCGCTTATTAATCGGCCAACAACGCTGCAAATCAATCGTGAATACTACAATGAAACTCCCTTTGACTGTGGCGGAAAGAGTTTTAAAATAAGCAGAAAACCCGCACTCTGACACATTATGACGGATCGGCTTTGAGCAGAAAAAGAGTTGCTGATAAATTCGCCTCAGTGACTAACAGGGACGAATGGATCGATCATCAAGTCTCAAAATATTGACTGATACACTCAGTAAATTTGTTCGCTTAAAGTGCCCCAAACGAACCGGGGAATTGCAACGAATGTTCCAGATAATTAAAACTGCTTCTCTAATTAGCAAATTTATACTTCCTGTCGCCATTAGTCACACTATGTATACAATACGTGCGCAAATAATGCATCAACTAGGGACTGTGAGTTTCCGCAAACTCAAAGTTTCCATTTAATTCAGCTCTAGGCAAAGGAAATGGAACGGGGCCAGTCTGGCGCTAATGGCAAAGTCTTCGCTCAAAATCCCTCTATTTCAAAGTGGATTTTCAAATACTTTTTATTGTTATTATATTATTTTCCTTCCTGGGCTCCAGTCAAAGTGTGAGACAAAATTTGTTCATCGTTTATGTCATAGGCGAGACAACAGCGCCATCATCAGATTTAAAATTCACACAAACTCATAATTGGTAAACATTACATTGCTGTCTTAAATTTGTTTAAATTATTTTCTACATTTGCAAATGTAGACATTTTCGTCGGAATTTTAGTCCGAAAATGGACGATTTTTCACAATTGCACGCTCTGCAATTAAAATTCGTAACTTCCAATTTAGAGCAAATTGCGAATTTAAATTTTTCTCGAATATAGAAGAAGGTTTGGGCTAAAAGGTAGCGAGATTTCATTCGAATCGCTGAAGAGATTATTTCTTGCGTGAATTTTGCTCCGAAAATTAGTGTTTTCACGCAACTTCAACCTATCGAATA